TTGCAAAACCCGCAGAAAGCAGGGATGAACTTGCAAAGATTTTGTCAATCGCTGCATTTATTTTGATCCTGTTTAAAAAAATAACAAGGTATGCATATTATAGGAATGGCACTTAGACTTATATACCGCTTCACAGTGCTTTAGAGCAGGGCTTTTCAACCTTTTCAACCATTGTACCACTTTTAGGATATGGCAATATCTGAGTACCACCAGTTGCCTAGCAAGGGGTCAAAAACTTGATGACCCAAAAAAAAAAAAAAAAAAAAAAGGAAAAAAGTGATGAAGTACTGGTAGTCTTTGACTTACAACAGTTCGCTTAGTGACTGTTCGAAGTTAAAATGGCACTGAAAAAAATGCCGAGCAAGACACCTGCCTGCCCACCCGGCGGCGCTCTTCCTCCTGTCCGAGGTTTTCATTGTTGTGAGCATTTCTGTTGAGATTGGCAGCGGGGGTGGGGTGGGGGTGTTTGGTTTTTATTCCCCCGTCTGCTGGGTGGTTGCAGCAGGTTTTGGTCACTTCACATGACCCTGGGACACTGTGACCGTCATAAATATGAATCAGTTGCCAAGCATCTGGATGTAAGTCACAAGACCCTGGAGATGCTGCAACATTCCAGCTGATTGGCGCTTCTTCTGGGCTCAACAGAAGCGGTAGGATCAGCGCCGAGCTCCAGCTGGAGCCTGGCGCTGATCCTGGCACTTCCACTGAGCCCTGACAGCCCCGAAGAAGCGCTGATCCTGGCGCTTCCGCTGAGCCCTGACAGCCCTGCAGCTCCAGCCATCTCTCGCTCAGGCTTGTGCGGTGCTGCCACCGGTTCAGCTCATTCCCCTCCCCAGCTACCCTTTTTCTAGGATGGTCGCGTACCACCTGCCAGGTGCCAATGTACCACAGGTGGTACCCATACCACTGGTTGAAAAGCCTTGCTTTAGAGCCCTCTCAAAGCGGTTTACAGAGTCTGCCTATTGCCCCCAACGAGCTGGATCCTCATTTTGCCGACCTCGGAAGGAGGGAAAGCTGAGTCAACCTTGAGCTGGTCAGGATCGAACTCCTGCAGTGGACAGAATCAGGCTGCAATTCTGCATTCTAAGCACCACCACATCTTATCCAGAAGTTACTCTGATAAAACATCCTCAACTTATAGCCATTTATTTAGTGAGCATTTGAAGTTACAACGGCACTGGAAAAAAAAGTGACATGACCATTTTTCACACTTACGACCGTGGCAGCATCCCCATATGATCCAAATTCAGACACTTGGCAACTGGCATGTTATTTATGACAGTTGCACTCTCCTGCGGTCATGTGATCACCATTTGTCTCCTACACCGCTGCCTTCTGACAAGCAAAATCAATGGGGGAAGGCAAATTCCCTCAACGACCCCACGATTCACTTAATGACTGCAGTGATTTGCTTAACAACCGTGGCAGAAAAGGCACAACTCGCTTAGGAACTGTCTTGCTTAGCAATGGAAATTTTTGGCTCAATAGTCGTTGTAAATTGAGGACTATCTGTATTGACGTTTATGAGCTCAACGGTTGCATTTCCTAAATAGGCAGGCTTCTATAAAGGCTGCTCCCCATAAATCAGGGGTCTTCAAACTTGGCCCTTTTATGACTTGTGGACTTCAACTCCCAGAATTCCTCAGCCAGGTATGACTGGCTGAGGAATTCTGGGAGTTGAAGTCCACAAATCATAAAAGGGCCAAGTTTGAAGACCCCTGCCATAAATGTTCCTGATTTTATAGCTATCGGCAAACTTTGTGTTTTTCATACTCTGTATATAAATTATGATTATCTTAAACTATCTTCTCTTTAAGAGTGTAGCAGATTTGCAGTTCAGACAATCAAACAAGGAGTAAAGTAATGGGATCAGGATAAATATAATTAATGAAAACTTAGTGTAGCAGCGCAGATCCTTGCCATACGGAACAAGATGCATTCTCTACATCCCAAAGCAGGCAAAAATGGACAAATCTCTCACCTGTGCAAGAAGGGAACCCATAGAAGCCCGGGGCACATAGGCTGCACCTTTGACCGACATAATTTGAATGGCAGTTGCATTGACCAATGGAGTTGCAGTTGCCGTCCACCGAGCCCCGAAGGTCACATGAACAAGCTGCAACAGGAAGGCACATAAATACATGCTGGGAAGGAGAATTAAATAATAACAGCACCGAAGTTTTGTTTCGTGTCTCTAGAGTAAGCCATGCAATATAACAAAACTAAGGACAGCCATCTACTGATCTATGGAGCACATGGGATGGGATTAGACCAGGGGTCCCCAACCCCCGATCCGTGGACCAGTACCGGGCCACGGGATGCCAGCAACCGGTCCACACAAACAAGGAAAGCCCTATCCGCGGGATGCAGGCAGCACACAAAACCACGCACTCTCCGGTCCACAGAAAAACCTCTCTTCTTAAGGTTGGGGACCTCTGGTTTAGACAGATGTCCCAAAAATGATTTTCAGGAGGCAACTGGACTTTCTTGTTTTTCTTTGAAGACGTTTTGCTTCTCATCCAAGAAGCTTCTTCAGCTCTGACTGGATGGTGGGGAATGGAAGGATTTATATTCCTTGCAGGCAGCTGGTCATTTGCCTTCTTTTAGAGCAGACATGTCAAACACAAGGCCCGGGGGGCGGATGCGGCCTGCAAAGTGGTTTCATGTGGCCCGCGAAGCCATCCTGCAAACAGTGAGGGAACGGCCCCCGCCAATGTACAATTTTGTGGTGGCCATCTTGGCACTTGCCACGGTGGACCATGCCTTGGCACTTGCCCAGGTCCCACCCCCTTCTGCCAGAGACCCTCAGATCTGTCCCACTTCTGCCCAGGCCCCCCCTAGGTACCCTTGATGCGAATGATGTAGAACTGGCCACGCCCACCCAGTAGACCACACCCACCCAGTAGGCTGCACCCATTCTGGCCATACCCACCCGGCCCCCCAACGGCAACTGCAATGCTGATGTGGCCCTCAATGAAATTGAATTTGACACCCCTGTTTTAGAGAGTCACTGAGGCCACTTGCAGGTTTATTTGTGTCGTCAGGGTTATGTGAGTAGTGCAAATGGGTGTAGAGCCTTTTACTCAGGTGACCCTGGGGACACAGAAAACCTCCAAATGGCCTCAAACTCTCTAAAAGAATGCAAATGACCAGTTGGCTGCAAGGAATATAAATCCTTCCATCCTCCACCATCCAGTCAGAGCTGAAGAAGCTTCTTGGATGAGAAGCAAAATGTCTTCAAGAAAAACAAGAAAGTCCAGTTTCCTCCTGAAAAAGCAACTTTGGAACAACCATGACTTGGATGACTGGGAATCTCCAGGGACGTTTTGGACCAATCAATTTCTCTCGGCCCATCCCACTTCCCAAAGGGGTTGTCATGGGATACAACTGGGAAGTTTCCCTATAAGCAGGAGATGGGGATAATACAGTTAGCCACTCGACTTATGACCACTATTGAGCCCTTAAATTTCTGTCGCTAAGCAGGACAGCTGTTAAGTGATTTCTGTCTCATTTTACAACTTGTTAAGAGAATCACTGCAATTAAGTTGTAACATTTAAGTGAATCTGGTTTCCCTGTTGACTTTGCTTGTCAGAAGGTCGCAAAAGGTGATCACATGACCCCAGGACATGTGACCGTCATAAATATGAGTCAGTTGGCAAGTGTCCAAATTACAATTATGCAACCAGCAGGGTGCTGTGGCCATTTAAGTAATTTTTTTCAGCGCCGTTGTAACTTCAAATGGTCACTAAAGAAGTGGTCATAAATTGAGACTACCTGTAATGGATCCTTTCTATGAATCCTTTCTCACACTGATATACCTTGGCAGTGAGGGTAGGAATGGTATCCAAAACTGCACTGATCACAATGAAGTCCACCATATTCAGGTCTGCAGTAGCATTTTCCAGAAGCATCACAGCCTTCGGGCAAGGTCCCAATAGAACTGCAGCCACAAACTTTAACAGGAAAAAAAAGAGATTTTAGATTTAAAACCTCATGACCTTAATGAGAAACTTAACCCAGAAGCTCAGAGATGGTCAAAACGAGTCTGAAGGCTCACCGAATTAAGTAATTGGGATACTTGTCAAGAAAGAATCAACAAGACTACCAAAATAAGATTTTACACCCATCACCATATACCAGTGGTGGCGAACCTATAGCACGTGTGCCAGAGCCCTCTCTGTGGGCACATGCGCCGTCGCTCCAGCACCACCTCCCCCTGTGGCCCCCTCCTTACCAGCAGCCCCCCATAGAGGAGAGTCGCCCCCAGGCGTGGCCTGCAGAGAGCAGCGCAGCCAAGAACATGGCAGCCGTGCAGCAGGGACAAGACTCCACCCTCGTGCCCCATCATGCGCAGATGATGCTGCGGGGTGCGGGCGGAGGGCATGGTTACCATGGGGCTGCAGGGCTGCCTGGGTGATCTCCTGTGGCGGGCCGTGGAGGCGATGGGTGGCCCTGCGGGCAGGTGGGGGTGGGGCAGAGCGGGGGCGGGTCAGGGGGTGGGGTGGTTTTGGGGCACTCGGTCTCTAAAAGCTTTGCCATCACTGCCATATACTGCACTCAAAAATGTATATTATTTATTTGTTCATTTATGAAATTTATGGACCACCCATTTTACCTCAAGGTAACTACTGTGATGCGTGGCCTTCCTACAGAGGCTGCCTTGCACCACTGTGGAAGTGGGCGCCTTTCTCGTGATCCCTCAGAAGGACATGGTTTTGTAAAAAAATCAGGTGCCTCACTTAATGGCCACAGTGACTTAGGTCATAATTCTGGACTCAGCTGTGATCATAAGTCAAGGACTACCTGTTATTTGACTTCACTGTTTATTCCTGATTGGCGTAACACCTATGTGCCAACTGTCCATAGTTACTCTTCCATAACTGACAACTCACGTTGACAGAGCGGGTAGTTGAAATAGCCAGGAGCACATTGGTTGCATAAATAGCCTTGAAACCCAATTCGGCACAGACAGTGTCCAGTTTCATTGTCGCAGGTGCCTTCGTAGAATCCAGGGCCTGAGCACTGGCAAGCTGTGGGAGGGGAGATTAGACATTTAGGACCATAATGACAGACGTCAAGAGCCTCTACACAATAACAATGGCATTTATATACCGCTTCACAGTGCTTTACAACCCTCTCTAAGTGGTTTACAGAGTCAGCATATTGTCCCCAACAATCTGTGTCCTCATTTTACCGACCTCGGAAGGATGGAAGGCCGAGTAAACCTTGAGCTGGTCAGGATCGAACTGCTGGCAGTGGGCAGAGTCAGCTTGCAATACTGCATTCTAACCACTACGTCACCATGGCTCTTGTTATCCTGAAGTTACTCTGATAAAACAAGGACTTCCTTTATAACCCCGGAGAAAGGATATTGTCTAAAAATTTATTAAACATAGAACAGTGCATTTATTTTTCTATCAACGCCTAAAACTCTGCCCTGTCCTATATGGGTCCTAGCACTTCCTTCAACCATCCTTTAAAAACTAGTTTTCCAAGGGAAACATCTCACGAGCTTTACATCACTGGTCAGGCTTGGGTTTACTCACGTTGGCAATTTGGTCCGTAGTAGCCAGGCACACACTGATCACACTGTGTCCCTTGAAAGTTAGGCTTACACAAACACAACCCAGTTTGAGCATCTTTCCTGCAGGTGTTGCCTCTTGTTCCAGCAACGTTGCAGTCACAGTCTGGAAAATAGGTACAAAGGCAGAACCATCAGGCAGGGTTTGTATGAAGCCGAGAAGAATCCTGATCTCTAGTGTGAAACCCTGCTAGACATATCATAAAGAAACCATCACTTTAGTAGGTAGCATGAGAATTTCCAAAAAGAGAAAATGAAAGCAAAAGCTTACTTATTATCTGCCCAGCGGGAAGGACTTGTTCTCCAGTAGCATTGTAAGACACAACCGACACCGCTATATCAAGGAAAAGACAACACAAAGATTAATCCTACGTAATGGGAAAGTCATCTAGTAGCTAAACACTAGACCAGGGGTCTCCAACCTATGGGCCGTAGCCCAGTACCAAGCCACAAAAATGGCTGACCAGGGCATGCACACGTGGGCGCACATTCTCCCCCTCTTGCGCTAGCACCTCTGGCCCTGTTTGTGCATGCATGTGGGCACAAACGGGAACACTAATGTGGCGGGCTGTGCATGCCCCGTTTGTGCACGCACAAACAGGCTGCTAGTGTGGGGAAGGGTGTGTGTGGCCCATTTGCGCATGCGCGAACGGGCACTAGCCGCCACAGGGGGTGCGCAGCCATTCACGTATGCACATAGCGCCAGCGCATGCCACATGTGCGAACACAGCTAGTACTGTGCCAGTGGACATGACCCTGTTTGCGTGCGTGCACGTGAGCACACAGGCAGTAATTTGGAAGCTGCTCTCCTCTCCGGGCCACGAGCCTGGAAAGGTTGGAGAACTCTGCACTAGACTAAAATAAGTTCAATTCTCGGCAAATATAGGTTAGTCCTCAACTTACAATCCTTTATTTAGTGACTGAAGTTACAACGGCGCTGAAAAAAGTGACTTATGACCGGTTTTCACATCTACGACCATTGCAGCCTCCCTGAGATCACCTGATCCAAATCCGGATGCTCGGCAACTGGCTTAAATTTATGATGGTTGCGGCATCCCAAGTCACGTGATCCCCTTTTGTGGTCATAAGTCGAGATCCACCTGCAGGCCAACCTGGATTCCAAAATACCGCCTGCATTTTGAATTCCATCATTGATTTCCACTTCCATGAAATAGCTTAGCCTCGTATTGGCCCTCTTGAAGACTTCACAACTTCATAGCTCAGGGGTCCTCAACCTTGGCAACTTTAAGACTTGTGGACTTCAACTCCCAGAATTCTGGAAGTTGAAGTCCACAAGTCTTAAAGTTGCCAAGGTTGGAGACCCCTGTGGTAGCTGATCACAAAGATTCCAACACCTCAAGAGAGAGATAGACCCTCAAGAGTTATGGAACCAGTGCTTAGTTCCGAGACTCATACATACGGTAGCAATGGGGGAAGTCCACATAATTGTCTGCACAAGCATCACAATGTTCTCCTGAGTAGTTTGGCTTGCAGTAGCAGCGGCCAGTGAAATCTTCACAAGTGCCATCGGTAAAGTCTGAGTCACAGTTGCAGCCTAGAAGGAGAAATGATGGATGAGCAGGTCAGCATTTGTATTTATTTATTGGTGCCCCACCTTATAACCCCACCTTGAGTTATTTTACAAGTAACTCAAGGCTACACACATGACAAATACTCTTTCCTCCCCCTATTTTCCCTGCAAAAACAACCTTGTGAGGTGGGTTGGGCTAAGAGAGAGGGACTGGCCCAAAGTCACCCAGCTGGCTTTCATGCCTAAGGCGGGACTAGAACTCGGGCACCTGGCGAGTGGCCCAAAGGCAGCCTGCCAATTTTCATGCCTAAAGTGGGATTAGAACTCAGCCACCTGCCAATTGGCCCAAAGTCAGCCTGCCAATTTTCATGCCTAAGGCGGGACTATAACTCAGCCATCTGCCGATTGGGCCAAAGGCAGCCTGCCAATTTTCATATCTAAGGCGGAACTAGAACTCAGCCACTTGCCGATTGGCCCAAAGGCAGCCTGCCAATTTTCATGCCTAAGGCGGGACTAGAACTCAGGCACCTGGCGATTGGCCCAAAGGCAGCCTGCCAATTTTCATGCCTAAGGCGGGACTAGAACTCAGGCACCTGGCGATTGGCCCAAAGGCAGCCTGCCAATTTTCATGCCTAAGGCGGGACTAGAACTCAGGCACCTGGCGATTGGCCCAAAGGCAGCCTGCCAATTTTCATGCCTAAGGCGGGACTAGAACCTAGTCTCCTGATGACTGATCCAAAGTCACTCAGCCGGTTTTCATGGCTAAGGCAGAATTTGAACTCACATTCTCCCAATTTTTAACCTGGTGCGTTTACTACTAGGCCCAACTGGCTCTCTAGCATACTAGACCAGCGGTCCCCAACCTTTATGGCTTGGCGGCCCGTGGAGAGGAGAACAGGGTCGCATGAGTGGTGGGCTGGCACGCGTGCATGGACATGCTCAGCTCCACTCACGCAAGAGAAGCCTTTGGGGCGCTGTTTTGTACTCCCTCGGGCTTCTCCGCGCCAAAAGCGTTTGCAAAGGGACGACGGAAGGCCTGAAGCAGCGCACGATCGCTCCCCCGAAGCCTTTCGTCCGTTTGCAAAAGCTTTTGGCACAGAGAAGAGAAAGCTTTGGGGGCCATGTCTCGTACTCCTTCAGACTCACCGAGGCTGCATGATGCTCCGAAAGTGGATCGGATGTGCTACGCAGGCAGCCTCGGTGAGTCAGCGAAGCTGAGCACGGTGCTCTCGTCCCACTCAGCTTCTGCTCTCACCGCTTTTGAAGCAACAGGGGCTTGGCAGCCTGGCTGGGGGGGGGGAGAGAGGGAAACCGGTCTGTGTGAGCAGCGGGCCGGTGCACATGTGTGCGTACGCAGCTCCACTCCCAACAAGAGAGAAGACTTTGGGATGCCTCTCACGCGGGTGGAGCTGTGCACGCGCAGCGGCACACCTCTCCTGCGGCCCGGTTCCAAATAGGCCATGGCTCGGGAGTTGGGGTCCCCTGTATCAAACAGTATATTTTATATTCTATAATAAATTTACTAGCATAAGTCTCCTATAAAATATTCATTGGGGAAGTTAGCAGGAAGTTGCAATCCTCACTCAGGGCTCTTCAAACGTGGCCCTTTTATGACTTGTGGACTTCAATTCCCAGAATTCCTCAGCCAGGCATGCTGGCTGAGGAATTCTGGGAGTTGAAGTCCACAAGTCATAAAAGGGCCAGGTTTGAAGACCCCTGTCCTCACTTAATAACAGTAACCACGGACTGACAGACCTGCCGTTGTTAAGGGTTGAAGTTAAGGGTCGACATGCTTTACCACCACATCACTTAACAATGGTCTGGTCTCAGTTACTGTCATATAAGTGAGGACTTACTTTGTTCAAGGGCTGCCTCTCATATCTTATTTTGACATCCTCTCATATCTTATTTTGATGTCCCGTAAGAGTTTCCACCCTCTGGGATGAGAGGCTTTGAGGGATGTCCTTAGAACAGTGATGGCGAACCTTTTAGAGACTGAGTGCCCAAACTGCAACCCAAAACCCACTTATGCATCGTCGGGTGCCGGGTGGGTGTGGCCCATTGGGTGGGCGTGGCTGCGGTGGTAATGACAGACTGGGTGGGACTAAAAAGTTCAATCAATCAATCCCAACTTTGCAAGATCTTTTTTTTTCCTGAGAAGTTGAAATTGACTGATTGATTGAACCTTTTTTTTTTTTGCACACGGTGGCGGAGGCCTAAAGCGAAAAGGTTTTATAAAACCCAGCTGAAGGCCTAGAACTGGGGCGACGGCGCGCGTGCCCACAGAGAGGGCTCTGAGTGCCGCCTTTGGCACCCGTGCCATAGGTTCGCCACCACTGCCTTAGAAGGATAAATGTGTAGAGACCAGAGAGAAAATACTCACGGTAGCAAATATAAGGTGAATCTATGGAATGATCAGGGGATTTATAATATCCCGGACTGCACCTTTCACAGTTAACGCCCGTTGTATGATGCTGCAAAATAATTCATCTGTTAGCTGCCATTACTTTGAGGCATCATGAGTCAGACAGATACAATCAATCAACCAAACAAACTGCATTCAGTTATAGAGCAGTAGAGAAAAACATCAAGGTCACAATTAATTAGGATTTTAAAAAAAGGAAAAATATAATTCTCCTAAAATACAGGTAGCCTCGACTTAACAACAGTTCGTTTAGTGACCGTTCAAAATTACAACGGCACTGAAAAAATGGACTTAGGACCGTTTTTCACACTTACGATCATTGAGCACTTGGTCACCTGATCAAAATGTGGATGCTTGGCAACTGGCATGTGTTTATGACCGTTCCCGTGTCCCGGGGTCATGTGATCGCAGCTTCTGTGACCTTCTGACAAGCAAAGTCAGTGGGAAGCCAGATTCACTTAACAACCGTGTTACTGACTTAACAAGTGCGAGGATTCACTTAACAACCGTGGCAAGGAAAGTCGTAAAAATGGAGCGAAACTCACTTAACAAGTGTCTTGTTTTGCAACATAGAGGTTGGGCTCAATTGTGGTCGTAAGTCGAGGACTTACCAATCCTCTGGTTATATACTATGTACAAATGAAAGTCCCACCTGACAATCAACGCAGACACCTCCTCCTTCAAACTGATTGTAATGATTCTTGCTGGCCTTTTGATGGTCAATCTCTGGGTCATAATAGCAATCATAGGCATGGCCATTGCAGTTACAGGCTGAAATAATAGAAAAGGTGATTGAAAGCTGATACCACTCCTGATTAACACAGGGCCCTGTTTGCAGTAGCAGAATTGCTGATATGACAAAATTTGTTGCACCCAACTGGGTGGCTTGATAACTTTAAACTGATGCACATATTTGCTTATTACAAAATGCTGGTTAATCACTAACATTTTTTTAAAATAATATTTTATTAATTTTCCAATTTTACATTTAGGTACTTAAAAAGCAACGTGGTGACTGGGTTAATCAATTTTTTCTGAAGATTGAATGTAATTAAGATACATGTAAGCTAAAAATTTATTGATAAATGTAATAATGATAATAATAATAGTAGTAGTAGTAGTAGTAGTAAAGTTGGAAGGGACCTTGGAGGTCATCTAGTCCAACCCCCTGCTCAGGCAGGAAACCCTATACTATTTCAGACAAATGGCTGTCCAGTCTCTTCTTAAAAACCTCCAGTGTTGAAGCATTCACCGCTTCTGGAGGCAGGTTGTTCCACTGGTTAATTGTTCTAACTGTCAGGAAGTTTCTCCTTAGTTCTAGGTTGCTTCTCTCCTTGCTTAGTTTCCACCCGTTGCTTCTTGTCCTGCCTTCAGGCGCTTTGAAGAATAGCTTGACTCCCTCTTCTTTGGGGCAGCCCCTGAGATATTGGAACACTGCTATCATGTCCCCCCTCGTCCTTCTCTTCGTTAAACTAGACATACCCAATTCCAACAGCCATTCCTTATATGCTTTAGCCTCCAGTCCCCTAATCTGATGTTTTTATTGAGTTGATGTAATAAGAACTGGACTAGCTAGAATATGAAACAGTGACTGTTAAGAGAAAAAGAGAAGAAATATTTGATGTTGCAATTTGAGATTTGGACTAGAGATTTTGTTATCGAAATCACTAACATTTTTCTAGTAATACTACTACACACACAAAAAGTCTGAAGGCTAGGAATATGAAAACAATGCTTTGTTCACTGTTTTACTGAATTCAGAAACTCACATCTGTTTCAGACTACAAGAAAATTAATAAAATGATCCACAAGTTGTTTAAAACACTATAGGTAGTCCTCAACTTACAACCATTCATTTAGTGACCGTTCAGAGTTACAATGGCACTGAAAAAAATGGTTGTTTTGACTGTTTTTCACTCTTACGACCATTGCAGCATTCCGATGGTCACATGATCAAAATTCAAATGCTTGGCAACTGGCATGTATTTATGACAGTTGCACTGTGCCGGGGTCGTGAGATCATTTTTTGTGATCTTCTGACAAGCAAAGTCAATGAGGCGGCCAGATTCACTTAACGACCACATAATTAACAACTGCAGTGATTCACTTAACAACAGTGGCAAAAAAGGTTACACATTGGGCAAGACTCACTTAACAACTGCCTTACTTAGCAAAGGGAATTTTGGTCCTAGCTGTGGTCATAAGTTGAGAACTGCCTGTATTTCATTATACCTGTCCATAAACTATTGCCAATCAATTTTTCAATTTCCTTGTTGAGCATAATTTCCTTAACTTTTAGCATAATGAGTCATTTTTACAAATTTTTTACAAATTTTTAATTTTTTTCTAGCCTTTCTCATTTTAATTAAGCTAAGTTTGCTTTTAGCAAAGCTATTCCGCTTTCACAAATCCTGATGATTGCCCTTTTCTGTACTCTTTCTACCCTGTAAATTTTCCATCCCTATCTTTCTTCCTCAGTTATTTTCCTAATTAACCTTTTGTACTGAACTGGTCTTCTTCAACTGAACTCTTAATGCTCTCAATTCAAGGCACTGTGTAAATATTCCATCTTACTTTCTGTTACAAGATAGTAACAAAATAATGGAAAAGCATAGCTTGCAAAGTGAAGTTATGTTCAATCGTCTCTAAAATTCACTGTTTAATGTAGCATTATTGCGCAATAAATATCTAAATACGAAAGTAGACAATTCTAAATTCTCCAAGATATTTGTTTCTCAGTTCTCCAATTATTCAAGTTGATATATAAGATTGACTGAACTGTCCAGCCACAAGTGCCATCGATTCAGGCCCTGTTATGAATGAATGAATGAATGAATGAATGAATGAATGAATGAATATCCCACCTTGATTACTTTCTAGGACAGTGTTTCTCAACCTTGACCATTTTAAGGCATGTGGACTTCAACTCCCAGAATTCCACAGCCAGCATTGCTGGCTGTGGAATTCTGGGAGTTGAAGTCCACATGCCTTAAAATGGTCAAGGTTGAGAAACACTGTAATCTAGGAAAATATAAATAAAATATAATGGTGTGCATCATACATAGGAGGTTCTGCACCTTGAAACGGAAAGATCCCAACGTTATAATATTGTATTATAAAGTTTTAATCTTTTTGTTTCAATATGCACAACCTCCTATAAACGTATGATGCACAGCATTTGCTATTTAGTTTTTCATCCACATTGTTGAGGTCCTTGCACTTAGTCTTCTTTTCGGCCATCTTGAATAATTTAATAACATCTGCAAGCATCATCCGTACCTGGATCAAAGTAAAAGTAACATTTTCTTTCAACTGAACCCTGCACCAAGTGACTTCAAGTAGTTTTTTTTTTGGCAACAACACCAGTACTTTTCCACTGTCTTGCTCTGGGCTGTTTTGTCAGCTTCCCGTTCTCAGCTGCAACCCTGTGATTGTTCCGGTCTTTTCCATTTCCAGAACTACCAGGTGTGACCTTCCTTAGTTCTTTGAGTCCAGTCCAGGTCTAATTTCTCTAGGTCAAGCATCCTTGAAGAATGCCAGAAACGTCAACAGATGTAAAACAGCAGGAATCCCGTGAAGTGCTGCTTAATATTAAGGCCAAGAACCAATGCTGCTTGCCAACTTGGAAGGCGAAAAGGTTGATTTGAACATTTAAAATGTCTTAAAAGTTGACTTTTTCAGAGCCAGCTTGCTTCCAGATGCCGACTGGGTGGCAAAGGATTTCTTCTGAGTCAGCCCCAAGTGAAAAAGGATTCACTCAGAAACTGTGTTGATCGATGGCTCAGACATTAAAAAAAAGAAACCAAAATCTTTTTTTGGTTGTAAAATGGGATAAAACTCACTTAACAAATGTCTAACTTAACAACAGAAATTTTGGGCTCAAATGTGGCCTTAATTACATGTAATTAAACTAAGGAGACACAACTAGGCTCAGTGCAATTTCTCTGCAAATTCCCCTCCCAGGCCCCTCCAAATTAGCTCTTCTGCAGCTACATAATTATCTCCACTCTTCTCAGCCACGATCCTTCGTGAATCCATCCAATTGTAAACAAATTCACACATTGGCTGGGCAAGTTGGTTTTTCCTCTGGTTGGGAAAGAAGAGATTAAGATGCAAATGGGTGTCTCCAAGTTTGCTCTTGCTTACAAAGCCAATGGCACCAGTCTATCAACCCTTTGTGGTCAGCAGAGGCCATGGAGAACATCATATGCATTCGCTTCTGGTTTTGCAATGACCTATATGTCATGAACCTCAAATAAAGATAAGGTAGAGAAGCATGAAGGTAGGTGGAAGGTGTCAATTCTGTTTATTATAAAACTTACGTTCACATTCATTGGCGCTGTCGGTAGTAGCTGGTTTCCAAGGCAACTGGTTGAATCCTGGACAACAGTGATCACACGACCCACCACAGGTATTGTGTTGACAGGCGCACTGCAACCTGCAAATAAAAGGGCAGTGAATCCAATGCAAAAGTCTGTATGGATATATCATACCAATCGCTTTTACATGACCCTGAATTTTGGAGCACCAGCTGGCCTATGTTCTCCGTGGTCTATCATGGTCTACAGAATAATAGAATTGGAAGAGATTGTGGAGGTCTTCTAATCCAACTCCCTGCTCAAGCAGGAGACCCTATACCATTTCAGACAAGTGGCTGTCCAGTCTCTCCTTGAACACCTCCAGTGATGGAGTGCCCACAACTTCTGGAGGCAAGCCATTCCACTGATTAATTGTTCTCACTGTTGGGAATTTTCTCCTTAATTCTAGGTTGCTTCTCTCCTTGATTACTTTCATCCATTGCTTCTTGCCTGCCTTCAATTGCTTTGAAGAATAGGTTGACACCCCCCCTTCTTTGTGGCAGCCCCTCAAATATCGGAACACTGCTGTCATGTCACCCTTAGTCCTTCTGTTCATTAAAGTAGTTCTTCATATGTTTTAGCCTCCAGGCCTTACTCATAAAATGATTGATACTGTTTCTCCACGAGTGGAAAATACAGATCACACAGTGGTAAAGGATCTCAGAACGTACTTGTTTAATTAAGCCTTTAAAATTTATCACTCGTTTATCCGAATATAAAACAGAAAGAAAATGAAAATAATGGGAAACTTGGGGAGGAAACAGGGAAAAGAAGAAAGTGTGGGATAGAAGGGGGAGGGGAAGGAATGGTATTGACTTCCGACTCTTTTTAGCACAGTAGAAAATAATAACATCACAGCCTCAACTTTTTTATTTTCACACAACAATATATACCAGCCATTTCTATAACAACAATCCTGTCCCATCAGCAAAATCAAAATCAAAAGTTTCATTTTTTTTCCCCCATCGCAAGTACAAAATCCAGAAGCGATTTCCAAATGGAAAACGTCCTTTTTTTGTGTGTACCTGACTTACCTGTATGCCCTTCAACTTTGGATTTCATCAGATGGAGACTTGCAGTGTTTTTTTTTGTTTTTAAAAAAAAGGCAATTCTGAAAGTTCCTGGCAAGAATTTTGTCTCGTCTACTGGTTTATCAAGAGGTGACCTCATGTTACAAAATTCCATTCCCCAGTACCCGCCCAAAGAAAATACTATCTGTCAGCTGCATGGTTAATAAAGTCCTGTTCCAAGCTTTTATCTCTACAATTACTCATTTCCCCCCTTGAGGCCTGCCTCTCCCTCCCCTGGCACACACATATACACTGTGCAGTGTTCGCTTGTTCATAATCCAGGACTTAAAAATAGTTACATCTCCTATTAAAAAAATAAACACCCATGTACCAACTGCTACAGGAATTTCAAGGGAGCATCTACTTCTGCATGTAACTAGTAGTAGCCCTTGACTTACAACACTTCGTTTAGTGACTGTTCGAAATGAAAAAAAGTGACTTATGTCTATGGATATGTCTAGTTTAATGAAGTCCAGGACTACCTGTACTTCATCACTTTTTTCCTTTTTTGGGGGGGGTCATCAAGTTTTTGACACCTTGCTAGGCGACTGGTGGTACTCGGATATTCCCATATCCCAGTGGTGGCGAACCTATGGCACGGGTGCCAGAGGCGGCACTCAGAGCCCTCTCTGTGGGCACGCATGCCGTTGCCCCGGTCCTAGGCCTTCAGCTGGGTTTTATAAAACCTTTTCACTTTAGGCCTCCGCCGCCGTGTACAAAAAAAAAAAGGTTCAATCAATCAGTCAATTTCAACTTCTCGCGGGAAAAAAAAAGATCTTGCAAAGTTGGGATTGATTGAACTTTTTAGTCCCACCCAATCTGCTGTTATCACCGCAGCCACGCCCACCCAATGGGCCACACCCACCCAATGGGCCATACCCACCCGGCACCCGATGATGAATAAGTGGGTTTTGAGTTGCAGTTTGGGCACTTGGTCTCTAAAAGGTTCGCCATCACTGCCATATCCTAAAAGTGGTACAATGGGTGAAAAGGTTGAAAAGCCCTGGACTAGAAGACCTTCAAGGTCCCTCCCAACTCAGGAAGGAAGGAAGGAAGGAAGGAAGGAAGGAAGGAAGGAAGGAAGGAAGGAAGGAAGGAAGGAAGGAAGGAAGGAAGGAAGGAAGGAATCTTTCCCATGTACACATCTGGTTATTGGACAGGCTAAAAAAAAGGAAGGAATAGCTTGAATCACGCCTGAGAATGAAAGACTACTTTTGAAAGGATTAATCTCCTTTCAAAGAAGCATCACCGAGTATCCTGCCTTTTTCTCTTTGGTTCACATTCAGAAAGAAGGTGAACTCGACCATATTGCAAAATACGCTGAAATGTTGCCAGCTCGTATATCATGAGAAGGATATGAGAAGGATCCGCAAAAACAGATTGTCTCTAGGATGTCATGGAGAAAAGCAGATTGTTGAAAAGTCCCTTGAAACAGAGTTCTCTCCAGCACCATTCCCGAGTCTAACAATGGCTATAACACAACTGCAGATATTTTGACAAAAATGACTGATGAGCCTTAAAGACAAAAAGGAACGGACACAAGAAAAATGCATTTCCTTCCAAGAAAATGTACATCAAAACCTGGCCTGCTAGATCAGGCTAAAGTACAACATTCTTTCTCACAAAATGCAAACCAAATGCTTCTGAATCACTCAGAGAGGATGCAGAAGCCACGAGGACAACTGTCCACAAGAGAACGTGACAAAAAGCACTGAAATCTTCCTAAATCAGGGCGAGGACTGAAGAGAGCAAGAAGGCCCTCCCTCTGTACAGTATAATTCAGCTTTCGGAATGTATTTTTTTCGGAACAACGTCAGATAATGAAGTTTCATTTTGTTGTTCAATCACAAGCCATAAAAAAAACTGTTCATAGAGAAGATGCGGCATCAAAACACACCTTTAAAACAAACAAAAGCAATTGACGCTTTGCAGGTAGTCCTCAACTGATGACTGTAATTGTGCCCGGAATTACGATCATAAATCATGGTGGTTATTAAGCAGGTCACCCTGTGACCATAACCTGATTTGATGACCCTTTTTTGTAGCAGCTGTTAAGTGAATTGTCACAATAGGTAAAGACAGGGATCTTCAAACTTGGTCCTTTTATGACTTGTGGACTTCAACTCCCAGAATTCCTCAGCCAGGCATGCTGGCTGAGGAATTCTGGGAGTTGAAGTCCGCAAGTCATAAAAGGCCAAGTTTGAAGACCCCTGGTTAAAGAGAATCCATTTTCTGCAATGGGGTTTTCTGCCAAAAAAGAGAAAATCAATACAGGCCAGTTGCCAAGCACCCAAAATGCAATCATGTGACCAGGGGCCACAGGGCAGCCATCAGAACTTCGAATCTGGATCATACGTAGCCCTGTGGGGTTCCATCATCACTTTGAACGGTTGCTAAGCAACTAGTCGTACATCGAGGATTGCTTTCAGAGATGAGAGATTTAGCAATTTTTGAGAAAATTATACCCTATTACAGGTAAGTCCTCAACCATTCGTTTAGTGACTGTTCAAAGTTACAACAGCACTGAAAAAAAGTGACTTATGACCAGTACTCACACTTATGATCATTGCAGCATCCCTATGGTCACGTAATCAAAATTCGGATGCTTGGCAACTGACTCATATTTATGACGGTTGCAGTGTCCTGGAAGGGGTCATGTGATTCCCTTTTGCGATCTTCTGACAAGCAAAGTCAATGGGGAAGCCAGATTCACTTAACAAGTGTTTTACTAACTTCACAACTGCAGTGATTCACTTAACAAATGTGGCAAGAAAGGTCATAAAATGGGGCAAAACTCACTTAACAAATGTCCCGCTTAGCAAAAGAAATTTTGGGCTTCGTTGTGGTCGTTGAGGATTACCTGTACATAACCCCATAAACCCTCACCCTCCCTGGTGACAACAATCAAATGAGTCACTTGATGGGCTCCATAGCATTCTAGGGTCCCCAGACCCGTTGGCAGAACCCTGTCTTCGGGATCTTGTGAAAGAGTGCTAAAGTGAGGGCCAATCTTATCTCTACAGGAATTATGTTCTACAGGCAGGGAACCACGACAGAGAAGGCTCTTCTTCTTGGTCATGCCGGATGGAACTCCTTATGAGAGGAGAAGTTATAATCTTCCTAGGACAGGAGTAGGCAACCTTGGCTCTTTTATGACTCGTGGACTTCAACTCCCAGAATTCCTGAGCCAGCCATGCTGAGGGGAAAGGGAGAGGTTTCCAAGCTGAGCCATGCTGGCTCAGGAATTCTGGGAGTTGAAGTCCACGAGTCATAAAAGAGCCAAGGTTGCCTACCCCTGTCCTAGGAGAAGTTATTATAATGTTTGGCTTGAACGGACAAATATTCCCATAAATATAAATGCTCCCAATGTAATCATCATCAATCCCCAAACCTTCTTCCTTTTACATCCAAAATTAAATCCCTTCACCCTGGGCCCTATTCATCAGTCTAGAAATTAAGAAACAAATGCTCCACGTATTTCATTGGCAGAGGTACCTAAAATTTCCAGTTTGCATTGAGAATGAACAACCTGTCAACATCCTTCTAAGAGTTTACATTTTTCACTGGTGAATATGTACACAATGCAAGACTAACACACACACATGCGGTACATCTCGAGTATTCCGCTGGCTTCTCCACTGATGAGTTGTTACTCAAGAGCCTCCTACAAAATAGCTATTACCAAATACAAGGTTTTGAAAACCTAGAGATGTAACACAAGATCTCTCATTTGTAGAATGTCGACGGAGATTCTCAGTCATCCAGGTCATGGTTGTCCCAAAGGTGCTTTTCCAAAAGGCAACTGGACTTTCTTGTTTTTTTTTTCCTTGAAAACATTTGGAAAACTTTGGGGGAAAAGTGCAAAGAAGAGCAACTGAGATGATTAAGGGCCTGGAGACAAAAACATATGAAGAACAGTTGCAAGAATTGGGTATGGCTAGTCTAGAGAAAGGAAGGACAAGGGAAGGACACTCTTCCAGTATTTGAAGAACGGCCACAAAGAGGAGGGGGTCAACTTATTTTCTGAAGCACCAGAGGGCCAGACAAGAAACAATGGATGGAAATTAATCAAGGAGAGAAGCAACCTGGAATTAAGGAGAAACTTCCTAACAGTGAGGACAATTAACCAGTGGAACAGCTTGCCTTCAGAAGTTGTAGGTGCTTCATCACTGGTGGTTTTTAAGAAAAGACTGGACAGCCATCTATCTGAAATGGTATAGTGTCTCCTGCTAGAGCAAGGGGTTGGACTAGAAGACCTCCAAGGTCCCTTCCAGCTCTATTTTGATCGTTGACTGTTCTTGTTCCGCTTCATTGAAAAGGGAAACGTTTTCATGGGGAAAAAAAACAAAAAAGTCCAGTTGCCTTTTGGAAAAGCACCTTTGGGATTCATTTGTAGATTTTTTTCAGGCAGATCATTTAACCTCAGACCTTCTTACAGAAGATTGATTGATTTGACTTGTTGGCTGCCCATCTCGCCTAGAATCATTACCATGATTCATAGTACCACGATTCATAGTCATCCATAAAAAGCTAAGTGATGAAACATTCATTGTGGTGACATCACACAATTTGCTTCTTTGCTATTGTGTCCTGATATTAAGTACCATGGTATCTAGGTACTCAACTGCTTTGAAACTCATCGAATTTGGTATCTAACAACTTTTGACATGAAAAATTTTATTCTAATACTCATTGTTTGTTTGGTACTCGGCGCTTAAGCTAGCACTTGTCACTGTCGACAGCCTTGTGACTCACTACATTATTCTTAATATAGTGGGAAAATTTTGCTTGGTACTCATCATTTTTTGGTGCTCATCACGCCTCCCTGAACCAATTAATAATGATCAAAGATCAAAGATGCAAATCTAATTGTGATGTTGTAATATACATTTCATTAGTCTGGGGTCACTGTGGTAGAATAGAATAGAATAGAATAGAATAGAATAGAATGGAATGGAATGGAATGGAATGGAATGGAATGGAATGGAATAGAATAGAATAGAATAGAATAGAATAGAATAGAATAGAATAGAATAGAATAGAATAGAATAGAATATCATTCTCTTTCAATTTAATATTTATAGTTGCTAATATGGTTTGGGGAAAAATAACATGGTGTAAAGTCTTGAAGTGGTTTTGATCGATATTTCAAGAATGAGGAGCTTTATCAATACACGTACAGTATGGCATCTAGCAAAATATATTACTTTGGTATAATGTAAAGTTGGTACATTCTTAATTTTCAGATCAGGAGTGGTAAAATGGATTTTTGTTTATGAATTCTCTGTTAATCTCTGATTATCTCTGTTTATGAACTGGCTCTTTATCAGTATCGTGGGAAAAAAGACTTATCAAAATTATTCAGTGTAGTCCAGGTTTATTGCTAGGTTACAAAATGAGCTGTTGTTCCTCTTTGCTCTTTCCCTTGTTTTCATTTTCTGTTTATCCTATCGTTTTAAAACACGTGGGCTCCAAAAATATTTTGTTTCAAGTTAAAAAAAGATTACAGTACCTTCTTATTTGTCCTTCTACAGATTTCACTATAAATTAATTTCAGAAACAATGCAACGATTTATATTTACTGGTACCAGCAACAAGAAAAAAAAAGTAATGGAATTCCATTGTGGGAAAATCCCAAATTTCTCTGGGAAAAAGATAAAGGAAACATAATAAAGAAAATATCTAGAGGAAATGGTTGATGTAATTAACATAAACTTCATGGGACTTTCCAAAACCACTAATTGCCTAATTTTAGCTTCAAGTAAATGTTGTCTTTTTAGTTTATTTGGTATTAACAAGGGATTCTTAATCCAATTTAGCAAAGAGATTGTTATTAACATGGGGTTTTGAAAGCAAGCAGATAGCAAAACACAAACGTATTGTATTTTTTTTCTATATCCACACTTCCTCTGAAGAACTAAATACAAGGCTTGTGTTTGGTTCATAGATGCATCTACAAGAGGTAGAAATGATATTTCAATAGAATAAGATGAAAGCTCAATTCTTCAGTATTTATTAGATCCATGATAAGTTCTTCTTGTAATCCATGCCAGGAACCATCTCCAAATCCATCACTTCACAATGTCTGTGTCTACAGTTATAGATACTGTAAACACTGAAAAAAAAATGTTGCTCTTTGTTGTCCTTGAAATGCTCCCATGCTTCTTGCGCTGTTCAAAATTTGCCTTCCTTTCTAGGATTAATCTTCTCCTAAATTTCAGTCCATCTTTATAGATGTAGGAGATGGTCAGGCTGAGTCCGGGGACGGGGTCAAATGTATCATTAGTTTGAAGTCTCCACGTCTCCATTAAGAGAACTAAATCCAGACCTGTGAATTCCATTGATTCTTATCTAGTGCCAATTTGCCTTGAGCGTTAGAAGATCAGATTCTTATGTATAGATAACATGAAATAAACTCGTATTTTTGAACTCCATCCCAACTCCTGATTTTTTGCACCTGACTAATAATAATAATAATAATAATAATAATAATAATAATAAGAAGAAGAAGAAGAAGAAGAAGAAGGAGAAGGAGAAGGAGAAGGAGAAGGAGAAGGAGAAGGAGAAGGAGAAGGAGAAGTTGGAAGGGACCTTGGAGGTCATCTAATCCAACCCCCTGCTCAGGCAGGAAATCCTATATCATTTCGGATAAATGGCTGTCCAGTCTCTTCTTAAAAACGTCCAGTGTTGGAGCATTCCTCGCTTCTGGAGGCAGGTTGTTCCACTGGTTAATTGTTCTCACTGTCAGGAAGTTTCTCCTTAGTTCTAGGTTGCTTCTCTCCTTGATTAGTTTCCATCTGTTGCTTCTTGTCCTACCTTCAGGCGCTTTGGAGAATAGTTTGACCCCCTCTTCTTTGGGGCAGCCCGAGATATTGGAACACTGCTATCATGTCCCCCCTCGTCCTTCTCTTCATTAAACTAGACATACCCAATTCCAGCAACCGTTCCTTATATGTTTTAGCCTCCAGTCCCCTATTCTTGAACTCAGGAAAACAAAGCAGTTTACCATGTTCACTTCTTTGTCATGAATTCTGAATTTACCAAGCACATTGCTTGACATTTCCTTCAATATTTAACATTTTTACTTTCATAACAAGTCTTGGTTTGGGTCCAGTGTCTTCTCCATATCTCAAACTATTCGTGTTTTAATCTCCAATATGGATTCCAGATGTTATCCTTTCCAATCCTATCATTATTTGAATATACTGAATGTATAATTTAAATAGATATGAGATCACTATACATCTTTACTTTATTTCCTTACTCTGTCTATTCTCCAGATGTAGTTCTTAACAGTAGCTTTTGGCTCCCTGTAAGGTTTCCACAGAAGAATATTTGAGCGTTCTGTTACACCCATTAGCCATAATAAGAACCACATTCAGGCATGATTTAATAAGTCAAAGGCCTTGATGTACACAAGAAGCAATATCTCTTGCTCTCTAAATCATCCATTTTATGTTAGTTTTCATTTTGCTCAGCCTCTTTTGAAACCAGTCTGTTTAATGCAGAGGTCTCCAACTCTTCTATTATCATGGAACTACCAAGAAGAAAAACATACTTCCACCAATATTGGCAAGAGAAGTTACTGAATATAAACAGGAAACCATATTCACTAGCACTGATGATGTTACCTAGTTGGTTAATAAAATATCTGCAAGGAAACAAACAAGCTCAGAGAGCACCAAGGACTCCACAGTTCAACCTTTAGCTATATATTCTCTTCTACTGAATATCTATGGAGAGTCATCCAGGTCATGGTTGTCCCCAAAGGTGATTTTTCAAGAGGCAACTGGACTTTCTTGTTTTTCTTTGAAGACACATTTCGCTACTCATCCAAGAAGCTTCTGAAGTGCTGAAGAAGCTTCTTGGATGAGAAGCAAAACATCTTCAAAGAAAAACAAGAAAGTCCAGTTGCCTCATGAAAAAGCGCCTTTGGGTCTTCTACTACAGGGCTTTTGAACCAGTGGTACGGGTACCACCTGTGGTACATTGGCACCTGGTAGGTGGTACGCGACGATTCTAGAAAAGTGGTAGCGGGGGAGGGGAATGAGCTGAACCAGTGGCAGCACCGCACAAGCCTGAGTGAGAGATGGCTGGAGCTGCAGGGCTGTCAGGGCTCAGCGGAAGCGCCAGGATCAGCACCAGGCTCCAGCTGGAGCTCGGCACTGATCCTGGCGCTTCTGCTGAGCCCAAAAGAAGCGCTGATCAACTGGAATGTTGCAGCATCTCCAGGGTCTTGTGATTTACATTCAGATGTTTGGCAACTGATTCATATTTATGACGGTCACAGTGTCCCAGGGTCATGTGAAGTGACCAAAACTTGCTGCAACCACCCAGCAGACGGGGGGAATAAAAACCAAACACCCCCCCACCCCACCCCCGCAGCAAATCCTCAACAGAAATGCTCACAACAATGGAAACCTCGGATAGGAGGAAGAGCGCCACCGGCCGGGCAGGCAGGTGTCTTGCTCGGCTGTGGCTTGGGGGGCACTTTTTTCAGTGCCATTGTAACTTCGAACAGTCACTAAGTGAACTGTTGTAAGTCGAGGACTACCTGTACTTTATCACTTTTTTCCTTTTTTGGGGGGGGTCATCAAATTTTTGACACCTTGCTAGGCGACTGGTGGTACTCGGATGTTGCCATATCCTAAAAGTGGTACAATAGGTGAAAAGGTTGAAAAGTCCTGTTCTACTGAATGATCAATTTATTTATTGTACATTTCTACACAGTTTCTAACTTCTCTTGTAATATAAACGTGATGCTTACATTGACAATTATAGTGATGTTTAGGTCCCTTTGCATTCCTTTCAAAAATTGTTTTATACTCTGAATACCAATCTACTTTGATTAAGGTGCTTTTTCAAGGAAGACTTACCTGTAAGGATCTTTAGGGTCCTTGGCGTCACAGACGTCAGCATGCCCATGGCAAACACAGCGCCCTCCGATGCTGATATCTTTGATGCTGTAGTAATACTAGAAAATCAGAAGTTCCTTCGTCAGTTTGCAAAAAATGCATTCTCCCTAACGTGAGAAAATCAAGAGCATAAATATTCACTCAAGAGTGAAGCTAGTCTTGGTTGGACAATCAAGTAAGTATTTTAGAAGTAAAGAAGACCAGCACTCACAGCTTGGTTGTGCTTGGTGATCCCCCAACCTGGCGATTTAGGTGGTGGGCTAAGGCTGCAAGATTATAATGGCCAGACAGCAAGGTCACCATTATGACAAAACAACTTTAGGATGACATCATGGAATTGCCATCAGCTTTACACCAAAAAAGGTAAAAAGAAACAGAAGTGACTGAGGGCTGAAAAATATTACAGGTAGTCCTTGACTTATGACGACAGTTGAGCCTGGAAAATCTGTTGCTAAGTATGCAGTCTTTAAATGAGTCATGAGCCCTTTTTTTGTGTCATTAAGCCAATCACTATAATCATTAAGCAAATCATGTAGTTGTTAAGCAAATCCGCCTTCCCCCATTAACTTTGCTTGGTGGACGCTAACCGGGAGAGTTGCAAATGACTATCATGTGAAAACCAGATACATTGCAACCATCATAAATACATGCCGGTTTACAAGTGCCCAAATTTTGATCATGGGATTGCAGGGGCCTGCGATGTTTGGCAAGTGCAAGGAGTGGTCATCAGTCACTTTGAACTCTGAACCGTCATTAAACAAACGGCCGTAAGTCAAGGGCTACATTACTGTATGTACAAATGTCAATATGGTCTGATTAATCTTATTTTATAACATCCTGAAAAACTGTTACCTGCTCGCTTTGATTAGAAATTGACAAAGGCACTGAAATAGTTACATCTTCCAGTCTTTTTCTTTATTTTTTTTCTTCATTGATTAGATTTTTATCCGGGCCTTTATTACTTTATCAATTACTTAAGGCAGTGAACAAACATAAAACTCCCTCTTTCTTCTATTACAGTGGTTCTCAACCTGTGGGTCGGGACCCCATTTGGGGTTGATCGACTATTTCACGGGGGTCGCCAAGCAAGGCTGTCTGCCATTTTTTTTGTCCTTTTTTTCTCCCTTTTCCGGCGGGTGCCTTACCTCCCTTGGGCTGGGCCAGCTGGTGGTCGGCCTGCTCCGTCTCTGCCGCTTGCCAGCTATGCCTCAGCCGGCGCAGGGGGCGGAACCACGCATGCGCGGCGCTCCCGGGCAGGGAAAGTCCTCGACTTACGACCGGTTGGGTAGTCCTTGACTTACGACCGGTTTAGTCCTTGACTTACGACCGGTTTAGTCCTCGACTTACGACCGGTTGGGGTCGCGGCATTAAAAAGGTTGAGAACCACTGTTCTATTATCCTCGTAACAACAACCCTGTGAGGAAGGTTGGGTTGGAAGAGATTGGCCCAAAGTCACCCAGTAGTCACCTGAAGCAGGACTAGAACTCACAGTCTCCTGGTGACTGGCCCCAAATAACCAGCCAGTTTTCATGCCTGAGGCGGCACTAGAACTCACCGTCTCCTGGTGACTGGCCCAAAGTTACCCAGCCGGCTTTCATACTTAAGGCAAGACTAGAATTTACAGTCTCCTGGTGACTGGCCCCAAATAACCAGCCAGTTTTCATGCCTGAGGTGGCACTAGAACTCACCGTCTCCTGGTTTGTAGACCACAACCTTAACCACTTACACCAAAATGGCTTGTGGTGCTCTTTCAAAGCAGTTGGTTTATAATTACATTAATTTCTCATCCATCTCCAGAAACAGCTGGACTCGTGGCAGTGACTAGGTCAGGGGTAGGCAACCTTGGCTCTTTTATGACTCGTGGACTTCAACTCCCAGAATTCCTGAGCCAGCATGGCTGGCTCAGGAATTCTGGGAGTTGAAGTCCACGAGTCATAAAAGAGCCAAGGTTGCCTACCCCTGGACTAGGTTGACAATTCAAATGAAATTTAGAAGCATCTTACCCTCCTGGTCACCGTGGGATCCCTCAAGGCCTTCCCCATCAGGTGTCCAAGCAGAGTGTTGGTTCTCAAGAAGCGCAACCGAATATTCGTCGCTTTGGTGAAATTCCGCAGAAGAGGGGAATACGAGAAATTCATGGCTCCTGGACGCCCATTCACCAAGGAAACGACAATCTGTAGAAGGATTCCACATCCCAGAGGGAAGTTTTAAAATGCAAATTTCAGTTGGATTTTTTTCCCCAGGCTTTCTTTTTAACGTTAAGAAAACCAAACTTTTATTACATATACAGCTTTTTAATCACTACTTACAAAAATATACTCACTCTTTTTTAATGTAGGTCGCGTTTGCTCACAAAAATACATTGCGCAACGTGTACCATAAAAATACAGTTCATAAAACAAAGTACTTTGTTCGGGCAATCACTCCCTAAACCCCCCGACTTGGCTAGAAATCTCTCTCCAGAAATTCTGACTAACGTTCAGTAGCTAATGGCAGAAAACAGCATGGCTAGATAGCTACCCTTTATTACAAAAGGGGGCCTACGTCTTAGAAGATCAGACTACAGATGGTCCTCGACTTACGATCACAAAGATTTCCATTGCAAAGCAAGGCGGCTGTTAAGTGAATTTTGCCCCATTTTAAAATCACTTTGGCCACAACTGCTAAGTCTATCACTGCAGGTGTTTAGTTGCTGGAATTGGGTATGTCTAGTTTAATGAAGAGAAGGACGAGGGGGGACATGACAGCAGTGTTCCAATATCTCAGGGGCTGCCACAAAGAAGAGGGAGTCAAGCTATTCTCCAAAGCACCCAAAGACAGGACAAGAAGCAACAGATGGAAACTAATCAAGGAGAGAAGCAACCTAAAACTAAGGAGAAACTTCCTGACAGTTAGAACAATTAACCAGCGGAACAACCTGCCTCCAGAAGCAGTGAATGCTCCAACACTGGAAGTTTTTAAGAAGAGATTGGACAGCCATTTGTCCGAAATGGTATAGGGTTTCCCGCCTGAGCAGGGGGTTGGATTAGATGACCTCCAAGGTACCTTCCAACGATGATGATGATGATGATGATGATGATGATAATCAGCCTTCCCCTTTCAACCGACATAAATACAGGCCAGTTGCCAAGTGTCGCAATTTTAACTAGGGGGGAACGCTGCAACGGTTGTAAGTGTGAAAACCGGTCATTAAGTCACCTTTTGCACTGCTGTTGTAACTTCAAATGATCACTAAATGAATGGTTGTAAGTCAAGGGCTACCTATATTATGGATCACATGACTCAAGAATCATTTTTTCTAATCCCCCCCCCCCTTTTTTTGAAGATGGGAACTATATCAGCTCTTTCCAGTTCCCCAGTGCTCCAGGATCTTTCAAAGATACAGTTCAGTGGTTCTGAGAGCACATCTGCCAGTTCCTTGAGAACCTCGGGGTGTAATCCATCTGGTCCTGGTGATTTGAATTTGTCTAGGGTGGACAGGTGCTCACTTACCATTTTCTTGCCTATCTTAAGTTGTGTTTCTATTCTGTTTTTTTACGATACTGTTGTCTGAAATGGTATATGGTTTCCTGCCTGACAAGAGGGTTGGACTAGAAGACCTCCAGGGTCCCTTCCAACTCTGTTATTCTATTCTATTCTATTCTATTCTATTCTATTCTATTCTATTCTATTCTATTCTATTCCATTCAACAGGATGGATGGATGGATGGATGGATGGATGGATGGATGGATAACATGGTATCACATGGTATCAACCTCAGTTTAAGTCCTATGAATTTTTCTCCTCCCTTCTCAAGGAACTTTTAACTGTTCTTTTCCTACTTTGAATCTGTCCGTCCGTCCATCCATCCATCCTCTCTCTCTCTCTCTCTCTCTTTCTTTCTTTCTTTCTTTCTTTCTTTTTTCTTTCTCTCTTTCTTTCTCTTTCTTTCTTTCTTTCTTTCTTTCTTTCTTTCTTTCTTTCTTTCTTTCTTTCTTTCTTTCTTTCTTTCTTGCCACCTTTAGTCCTCCCTCTCTTACTTCTGCTTTCCCCTTCCCATTGTCCCTCAAGGGATCAGATGTGTCTTCCTTCACCCTTCCTTCTGGTTGCGAGCAACTGGCTGGCACCATGTCCCTCTTTATTCTTTAATCTCTCTCCCAATGTCACCTCCCATCCACACAAATACCTCACCCTACCACCACCTCAAGATCTCAGAAAGAAGAAGAGGAAGAACTTCCGTTTCTTCTTTGGCAGAAACTAGACAGATTCCTCTGCTTTCTGTCGTTTCTACTACCATCACCATCATCCACTGTATCAAAAGAATGAAAAACTATTTGTTCGGCACAGACACAGAAAATACAGAGGGAAAAGGAAGGGATTGAAAATGCGTATTTTGGTGCCAATAAAAATTGACTAATTCTTTCCTGAATGTGAAATATCATCAGTAATTTTTTTTTAACTCTGACTAATCTTTTGCTCTTCTTATCCTATCCTATTCTTGGATTTAGGAATAATACAAAATGAAAGGAAGTGTCTCATACGTTAACGGCTGGTTTGGATATACTTCCAGCCTTTCTTTCTTTCTTTCTTTCTTTCTTTCTTTCTTTCTTTCTTTCTTTCTTTCTTTCTTTCTTTCTTTCTCTTTCTTTCTTTCTTTTTCTTTCTCTCTCTCTTTCTTCTTTCTTTCTCTATCTATCTATCTATCTATCTATCTATCTATCTATCTATCTATCTATCTATCTATCTATCTTATTGATTTATATCAAAACCCCATCTCGTATATGTGATTCTGTGTGGCTTACAATAAAAATAGATTAAAAAACTACATAAAGACACATAAAATACATACGTAAAAAAAGACACAGGGTAGCTAAATTATAAATCAACCATTTACACAGCCAGAAGACAAGGGCTGCACACTTGGGCACAAAATCAAGTTTTTAGTGCTTGAGGAAGGCCAGCAAGGTTGAGGGTCAATCTGATTTCTCGAAGAATTATATTCCAGAGAGCAGACGCCATGGTAGAAAAAGGCTTCCTTCCAAACATAGACTAATTTATTTCACGAATGAAGACATTTCAACTTTTATCAGCATGAGGGGGGCGCAATGGCTCGGCGGTTAAAGATGCTGAGCTTGTCAACCAGAAAGCTGAGAGCCCAGGTTCAAGAACTGGGCGCTGCACGATGGGATGAGCTCCCGTTATTTTCCCCAGATCCTGCTTGCCAGAGCAATTTGAAAGCATGCAAATGCGAATAGAAAGTTGGACCATAAGAAAGGCTGAGCGCCAAAGAATGGAGGCCTTTGAACTATGGTGCTGGAGAAGACTCCTGCGAGTCCCCTGGACTGCCAGGCGATCAAACCGGTCAGTCCTAGAGGAGATCAACCCTGACTGCTCCTTAGAAGGCCAGATCCTGAAGTTGAAACTCAAGGACTTTGGTCACCTAATGAGAAGGAAGGACTCCCTGGAGAAGAGCCTAATGCTGGGAAAGATGGAGGGCAATAGAAGAAAGGGACGACAGAGAATGAGGTGGCTGGATGGAGTCACTGAAGCAGTAGGCGTGAGCTTAAATAGACTCCAGAAGATGGTAGAGGACAGGAAGGCCTGGAGGAACGTTGTCCATGGGGTTGCGATGGGTCGGACACGACTTTGCAACTAACAACAACAACAACAAATAGGTACCACTTCGGTGGGAAGGTAATAGTGTTCCGTGCACCTCAGCAATATAGCCATGCTGGCCACATGACGACAAAAGTGTCTTCAGACGATGCTGTCTCCCTCAGCTAAGAAAAACAGAGATGAACACAGAAACGACTAGAAAGGGAAAACCTTTACCTTTTTTTCCAGCATTATGCATTATTTAAAATATATACGATCAATTATTTCATCATCCAACTTTTCAGCTAAGATGGCGAGAAGGATTTGAAGTAATTAAAAATCCTTGGAAAAAAATAAATCCCCATGTCTTTCCAGTTTTATTTTGAGATGTCAGATTTCTGGGAATGTTTCTAGTAGGGTAAAAATCCATTTGATTTTTCATCTGGAAATAATTTGTCTATAGGGTCGGATTAATTCAATTCTTATGTGCTTCTTTAAAGCTTAGGGTAAATTATTTTCTCATCTCACTCCACTGCACAGCAGAGCTGGCAGATAAATCATAACTATTCTGGCTTTATAGATGAGGCAACTGGGGATGAAAAATAAACTTGTGAGCAATGTTTTAGATTACAGATCAGAACTGTGGCTCAGGGTCTAATATTAATTTCATGAGTTCTCACAGTTCATGATAAATGTGGCTTCAAATTCAACAATCGTTCCAGATAGACGAAAACAAAATATTAAAGAATAATACAGGAAAACTTTAATTTTATAGGTAAGTGTTTTTCAGCTTCGGCAACTTTAAGATCTGTGGACTTCAACACCCAGAATTCTGGGAGTTGAAGTCGAAACATCTTTTAAGTTGCCAAGATTAAGAAACAACATTAAAGATTAACTGAAGTAAGGAATTACATTGGAATCAAAGGTCTAATAAAGTGAATTTCCATATAATGACCATCTGGCTATGACACATGTCACCCCACTGATCAGGGTAGATTGAGCTGATCTGACTGGCTAGATGTATGTCCCTCGTGAAGTTGTGCATATAACCCTGATTGACACAATATACACAATCTGGATCCAGTTTCACAATTTGTGCAACGACATCATTTACACAGATTACTTCATTAACAAAATTGAGTTGCAACATTTTTCAAAGAGGCAACAATGCAAAATTTACAGAAATGATATACAGGTAGTCCTTGACTTACGTCCGGTTTCTTAGCAACCGCTCAAATTTATGACAGATCTTCCTAGGGGGGGTACTTTCCACCCAGTTCCAAACTTCCAATGGGCCTCACACTGCTATGATCGTGTGAATCCACTTCGAGTGCATGGCAACTGACCCATATTTGGTATAGGGTTTGTATAGGGCAGGGGTAGGCAACCTTGGTTCTTTTATGACTCGTGGACTTCAACTCCCAGAATTCCTGAGCCAGCCATGCTGAGGGGAAAAAGAGAGGTTTCCAAGCTGAGCCATGCTGGCTCAGGAATTCTGGGAGTTGAAGTCCACGAGTCATAAAAGAGCCAAGGTTGCCTACCCCTGGTATAGGAGTTCCTTCCTGAGCAGGGGGTTGGACTAGAAGACCTCTAAGGTCCCTTCCAACTCTGTTACTCTGTTATTTACTGCTGTTTGCAGCATCCTACAGTCATGTGACCATATTTTACAACTTTTTCGGTTTATGTATCGTCATAAGTTGGGGACTACCTATAAATTAGCCACAGATTGTGATGTAGGATATTCTTTCATAAAATTAATCTCACCACAGCCCATGTCTAATTGGCACGTTAGGCCGAACTACCACCAAGCTTACAAGATTGTGAAACCACAGTCAGTCTTTTTAAGGAATATCTGCAGATGTATGTCTCAGCATCAAACATTTGTGAATGTTTAGCACTTAATTTGATAAATGCTATAACCCAGGTTTATATCTTTAATGCTATTGAACATTTAAAAATGACAAAACTGCTATGACAAGCAGCCATCCATCTGGAATTATGTGTTTCAGTTCTTCTCCACAAAGACATGTGTTTGCCTCCGTAAAGACAATACAGGTAGTCCTCATCTTACAACAGGTTGATTAGTGACCATTTGAAGTTATTAATGGCACTGAAAAAAGTGACTTATGACCCTTTTCCCACTTATGACCTTTGCAGCATCCACATGGTCACATGATCAAAATTTAGATGCTGGGCAACTGACTCATGTTTACGACGGTCCCGGGGTCATGTGATCCCCTTTTGCAACCTTCTGAATAACAAAGCCAATGGGGAAGCCAGATTCACTTAACAACCATGTTCCTAACTTAACAACTGCAGTGATTCACTTAACAATTGTGGCAAGAAAAGCTGCAAAATGGGGCGAAACTCACTTAACAGCAATCTTGCTTAGCAGCAGAAATCTTGTGGTTTCAATTGTGGTCGTAGGTCGAGGACTACCTCTATTTTGCTTTGTGAGGAAGGATGCCTGCAACTGTACGATATCTTTTTTTTTTTTTTTGCTATACATCCCATCTCTTCCCCCAATTCTCAGTAGGATTTGCCAGCTGGAACACAGCATTTAACACAGATGGAACAATTCTGCCAGCAGGATTCAAAATTACGGTAGAATTTAGCAACAGGATGCAAGAAGTGCAAAATCCCACAGTCTATTATCAGCTTCAGAAAGCTCAAAACATGATTAAAAGGTAAAGTTCACGAGACTGGAAAAAGCAAGAAAATCAGCTATCTGCTAAGAAGAAGAAGGAAAAAATGTTGTTGCTGAATATATTCTTGTTATTTAACCGTTTAGTTGTGTCCGACTCTTGGCGACTTTATAGGCAACTGCTTTCAGTGCCACCCTTGTCGAGTGCAGCTTCTTTCAATTGTTGGTTGTGCATCTTTGTGTCAGATTTGATGTTATCAAGCCAGCCTATTCTTTGCTTGCCCCTTCTTCTTATTCCACTAACCCAGAGGTAGGCAACATTGGCTCTTTTATGACTTGTGGACTTCAACGCCCAGAATTCCTGAGTCAGCATGGCTCAGTTTGGAAACCTCTCCCTTTCCCCTCAGCATGGCTGGCTGAGGAATTCTGGGAGTTGAAGTCCACGAGTCATAAAAGAGCCAAGGTTGCCTACCCCTGCCCTAACCATTCCAAGTATCACAACCTTCTCCAATGAATTTGCAAGCATGACAGCGCTAAAGTAAAAATTTTTCCTTTAATTTTTCTTCCAGGCATGAAATTAGATCCTTATTATACAACTTGGAACACTCTCATCCTTTGCTTCTGTAACATTTAGATCTGTTGCTAAAAATTACATTTAGGAGAAGTCTGGGGAATATTTGAAGACTACTTGAACAAGAAACCAAAGCTTGGGTAGAACATATATATCCCACAGAAGACTGGGGTATAAATTTAATCAATAAGCAAATAGACTTCCAACAGTTTCTAGGTGGAATTTCTACAATATTCCTTATTGATTGCTGCATGCCAGACCCAATATTTTAATTTTTCCTGCCTCTTCTTTCTACTGCCCTCCTACCTTAAGTACTTTTCGAACTTTGTTTCATAAATCTTAACTAAAACCTAGTCAGACAAATCTTTTTTATACCGAATGTATAGACAAAAAAAGGGATTGTGCGTGATTTCAAATTAAGCACAGAAACTGAACTCATATATTCACCTGTCAAACTCTTACTTCACTCCCAGACAGAAATAAGTATCATGAAATCTATGAACATTCAGTCCAATCCATCACACCAAGAAGAATGTAATGCAAATGTTGTCAAGATTGAATCACTAATCAACTTGCCATAGAAAAGGAGGGAGGGGTAGAAAGTGCAGGGGGGGAGATACGATTCCAAGAAGCTGTTCACGGTCCACGAGAACCTGCAGGAATGCCAAGGTTACTAATGCAGGTGTGCTTGACAGAGAAGTGGACCGTTCCCCTAACAAGCCAAAGTTTTTTGATTGGACAATGTGAGCACCCAGTGGGTGGGGGCAAGGGACGCTACTGGGTAGGCAACCTTGACTCTTTTATGACTCGTGGACATCAACTCCCAGAATTCCTGAGCCAAGGTTGCCTACCCCTAACCTAGGCAGATTTTCAGGCGGGAAAACCAGAGTTGGTTTTGCTTCTTCAATTCCGAGACGTGTATTCAATAATGTTTTATATTTATGGCACTCCAAAGCCTTGAAGGTTCCATTTTTGGGTTTGTTAGTTGGACAGTCGACTAATGTATGTATAGGTAGTCCTCGACTTACAACAGTTCATTTAGTGACCTTTCAAAGTTACGCCCCTGAAAAAAGTGACCGATGACCATTTTTCACACTTATGACCACTGCAGCATCCCCATGGTCACCTGATCAAACTTCAGATACTTGGCAACTGACTCATATTTGTGACGGTTGCCATGTCACGGGGGTCACTTTTTGCGACCTTTTGACAAGCAAAGTCAAGGGGGAAGCCAGATTCACTTAACAACAATGTCACTAACTTAACAACTGATTCACTTGACAACTGTGGTAAGAACAGTTGTGTAAAGGGGCAAAATTGACTTAAATGTTTCACTTAGCAACAGAAATTTTGGGCTCAATTGTGGTCGTAAGTCGAGAACTACCTGTAATCTAATCCTATCGCTTTAAATATAGAACTTGAATTAGAAAAGCGATTAAAGCTACTTACCTCCCCGTTTTCCAAGGGCACAATGCGGGAATATTCAGTGGTACAAATAACATCATCATCTTTGGTAATCTTCTCTGTGCTCTTCAGGCCAAATTTCTCTAAGCAATCTCTCCTGGAAGCTATTGAGTGCAGATGACAAGATTTACAATCTGGAAGGGTGTGATTTGCCCCAAAATAATTTATAACACTTTGCATGTATAGAGAATTTTCCAACAATGAAAGGCCTTTGCATGTATCACTAAGTGTCAGGCATGAAGAATCAGGACTACCCATTAATTTCCAATTAAGCTGGTTTATTATTTATTTCAGGGGCCTATACACCAAAAAAAAAAATCTAGTCATCTAATGGTCAACATTAAAAGTCAGCATAATTGGAGATAGAACAGTGTCAACAGAATTCAAGGGGGATTGGACTTAGATTGTAAGGACTCTAGGCTGATCATTTGCTTGACAAATCTTCTTTTTCTACACTAAGGTGTTTATCCTAGTAAGAATATATAGCTGAAAGGCTGAGACCAGTGGTAGGATTCAAATAGGTGAACAACCAGTTCTCTGTGTGGATGCGGCTTCCTGAAGTCCATTGTGGGCCTGGGCAACAAAAAATTAGCTACCAGTTCTGCCGAAGTGGTGTGAACTGGCTGAATCTCACCACTGGCTGAGACAATGGCACATTTAAAGTCTCCTAAATGAAATTCTGGCAGTGGAAAAAAGCAAAGGAAAAATCAAAATTTTCCTTTTCTCTTACTCGTGTACTTCAACTCCCAGAATTCCTGAGCCAGCCATGCTGAGGGGAAAGGGAGAGGTTCCAAGTTCAGCCATGCTGGCTCAGGAACTCTGGGAGTTGAAGTCCACGAGTCATAAAAGAGCCAAGGTTGCCTACCCCTGGTTTAGGATAAACTGGAAAATGAAAATGGAGCATTGAGATTTTTTTGTTTTGTTTTTAAGTGCCATGAGAACTTCTTGTGATGTTGCTACCAGACCAAATCCTTAAAAAAATAGGTCCATCTTCTACAAAGCTGGAACAATACAAATTACTGCCTGAGCATGGAAGTTGCATTCGAGATCAGCATAGGAAAATATTTTATCTCTTTTTCTGCCGTCCTTATTTCCAATAATCCAGAAGCTGCAGAAGGAGTTCAGATTATTAAATAGGATGAATATGGGGCATATACCCAGCATTCTATTATTTCAGTTATTTATAACTCACATACAGGTAGCTTGTAGTAAACTGGGGCAAAATTCACTTAATAACTGTCTCGCTTAGCAACAAAAATTCTGGGCTCAATTGTGGTTGTAGATTGTAATTCATCACCCATAAATTCAATAAAATAAATTCAATTCCTGGCACCTGGATGAAGTTCCCACATCCTCTTATTTTTAATAAAAAAGAATGTTGGGAGATATGTTGTTTAACATCTGGGAAGTGTTTGAGGGAAACTTTGCTTTTCAGAAGAAGTCTCCAAGCGAAGGGAAACAAACAAACAAACAAACAAACAAACAAATAAATAAATGCACAGCGCAGAGAATCCCAATAACAAAAAAAAGAAGCTTGAGATTTTGCACAGTTGCAAAAACAGCTGGAAAGTTGAGGATCAGGAAGAAGACAGATAAACTTTTGTTTGGAATAAAGTCTTCCTGAAAATTACGCAGGAACCGATCCATCACAAAAGAATGTACAGATTGCCAAGCTTGCAATAGTCTTATCTTAAAGGAAGAAGCAAAATTAAGTCAGTTCTGCTGGGGCAGGTGGCTTATCTCTTCACATTTCTCCAAAGCTGGGTTCACATATTTTCCTCAGCTATGGCTAAGAACCATGTTTTGCTAAACGAGTCATAGTAGGCTGTTCCACACTTAATACTATCCTCAAAAGCAGCATTTCTCAACCAGGATAACTTTTAAGATGTATGGACTTGGTTCCCAGAATTGACCTGAGTGGGGAGTTTTGGAAATCTATACATCTTAAAGTTGCTAAGGTTAAGAAAGACTGCCATAACACAACACCTGCTTTACATGTCCAAACTGCCATGTTCACACCCTTTTGTAAGCCTAAAACAAATAATATGGCTTAGCATATAGAGCACGTAAGCCTGACCACATGGTGAGTTACAATTTGAAGGAGATATGATTTCAATTACTATGAAAAAAATGCGTTTAGATTATTGTCCTGAATCCCAATTGGATGCTAGTGAAATAAGCACACCAATTTGTTACTTGAAAACTCTAAGGATAGTCTAATACTAAAGGATAGCCATGTTAATTTTCAGCAATGTAGTCTAAACAAGCTATAGCAAATCTAGACAGCACACTAAAAAGCAGAGACATCGCCCTGCCAACAAAAGTGCGTATAGTCAAGGCCATGGTTTTCCCAGTTGCAATGTATGGCTGTGAAAGTTGGACCATAAGAAAGGCTGAGCGCCAAAGAATTGAGGCCTTTGAACTATGGTGCTGGAGAAGACTCCTGCGAGTCCCCTGGACTGCAAGGTGATCAAACCGGTAAGTCCTAAAGGAGATCAACCCTGACTGCTCTTTAGAAGGCCAGACCCTGAAGTTGAAACTCAAGGAATTTGGCCATCTAATGAGAAGGAAGGACTCACAGGAGAAGAGCCAAATGCTGGGAAAGATGGAGGGCAATAGAAGAAGGGGACGACAGAGAATGAGGTGGCTGGATGGAGTCACTGAAGCAGAAGACGGTAGAGGACAGGAAGGCCTGGAGGAATGTTGTCCATGGGGTCACGATGGGTCGGACACGACTTCGCAACTAACAACAACGAAGTCTAAACAAGGCTTGCAGAGCAGAGGATACAAGTGTGCAGAATTAGCAAGCAGCAATACAGATAGTGTTTGACTTATAACAGTTCATTTAGTGACCGTTCAAAGTTACAATGGCATTGGCAAAACGGACTTATGACTATTTTTCACACTTACGACCATTGCAGCCCCCCCGTGGTCATGTGATCAAAACTCAGATGCTTGGCAACTGACTCATATTTATGACAGTTGCAGTGTCCCTGGGATCAGGTGATTCCCTTTTGCGACCTTCTGACAATCAAAGTCAATGGGGACACCAGAATCACTTAACAACTGTGTTCCTAAACTTAACAACTACAGTGATTCACTTAACAAATGTGGCAAGAAAGGTCGTAAAATGGAGCAAGGTTCACTTAACAACTGTCTCACTTAGCAACATAAATTTTGGGCTCAATTGTGGTCGAGCACTATCTGTAGTTAAAGAACAGAAACAAGATACTTATTCATTTAATGGAAAGTATATGGCTTATATGCATTCTATTATTTCAGTTATTTATAACTCACAAACTACCTGTAGCTTGTAGTAAACTGGGACAAAATTCACTTAGCAAATGTCTCGCTTAGCAACAGAAATTTGGGGCTCAATTGTGATCATAAGACGAGGACTATCTGTAAAGCTATTCAAATGCACAGCACAAAAACTTGCTTCGGTGATTGTTATTAAAATAAAAAATTCTGCTCTCTCTTTTATTTTTCCTTTTTCTTTCTTAACTCTTTTGGGTTTTTTGTACTCTGAAATTTACTTTGCAAGCCTAGAAGCAATGACAGTAAAGTAACAATTATTTGTAGGCACCTAGAAATCCATCTACTTTATGTAGCATGATGATTAGATATGTCTGTTAGGTCAGTCTGTGCATTAATAACACACAGATGGACTCGGTGGGATTATCCCAGAGCAAATGATTGCAGCCAATGGATTCCTGGATTTAGTAATTTAGTTGTTAACGGTGATAACCTGCTAATCCAATAAACATGTTAAACTTCAAATCCAAAACCACTCAGTTTTCCAGGCAGTAATTCAGGCATTAACTTAACTTGGCAAAAGACTCTCAGATCTAACAAGATTAGAATCTTTACTAAACACAAATGTGAAATCTTATTCACCGGAAACTGTAAATATAGAAATGCAGAACAAAAAGTCAAATACTGCATTTTATGCAGGCAGTCTTCCGCTTACGACCCCAACTGAGCCCAACATTTCCGTTGCTAAGTAAGGCATTCGTTGTGAGTTTTGCCCTGTTTTATGAGATTCTTTGCCACAGTTGTTAAGGGAATCATTGCGATTATTAAGTTAGTAACACAGTTGTTAAGGGAATCTGGTTTCCCCATTGACTTTGTTTGTCAGAAGGTCACCAAAGGGGATCACATGATCCCAGGGACACTGCCATCGTCATGAGTCAATTGTCAAGCATCTGAATTTTGATCACATGACCGTGGGGATGCTGCAATGGTTGTAAGTGTGAAAAACGGTCATAAGTCACGATATTATTATATAAATCTTCATGTATTATTCAAGGAACGATTTCTTCCAGTTAATAATAATAATAATAATAATAATAATAATAATAATAATAATAATAATAATAATAATAATAATAATAATAATAATAATAATAATAATAATAATAAAGTCCCAATATTTGAGGGACTGCCACAAAGAAAAGAGGGTCAAGTTATTCTCCAAAGCATCTGAAGGCAGGACAAGAAGCAACAGGTGGAAACTAATCAAGGAGAGAAGCAACCTAGAACTAAGGAGAAACTTCCTGACAGTGAGAACAATTAACCAGTGGAACAACCTGCCTCCAGAAACTGTGAATGCTCCAACACTGGAAGTCTTTAAGAAGAGACTGGACAGCCATTTGTCCGAAATGGTATAGGGTCTCCTGCTTGAGCAAGGGGTTGGGCTAGAAGACCTACAAGGTCCCTTCCAGCTCTGATTGATTGAACTACCACTATATATAAAATGTAAGTCATTGGCATAAAGCCTTCTGTTATTGTTTGAGAACCTCTTTAGGATAAAGACGCTTCTTATTCTTTTATCCATGAGGTAAACTTAATGCCTCACTGTCAAAAACTCAAGAGAAAATGTTCCTGTTTTATTCTCCCAGATATTCTTTTTCTTTTTTCTTTTTTCTTTTTCCAGGTTTTTCTGTTTAACAAATCATCATAAAACTGAATTCACATCTTCTACCAATTACTATTACTTCTCCCTGGAGAAGCCGGTGTTTAATACTTTCAAACAACTTGCGTTCTCTCCGTTTGCTTGAAATGGATGTATTTTCAGAGGAAACCAACGCATTTGGCCAACTTA